AATGGATAGTCTGATGTCACTTCAGTCAACGTTTTAGTTTTCAGTATGACTAAGGTTTTGTTTAAATTCCCCATTGGCACACCTGTATTCTGTATTAAATTGAACAGAGAAATACAATTAATCTGCACTTCTATGCTACCCCCCACCCCCCGTTCTCCAACCTGCACTGATTGAGATGGGTAATTTATTATTTGAGAGTGATTTTGTACGTAATATTATTACCGTGTAACTCTATTATAATTCCTACAGCACACTTACAAAGCTTGTCTGCTTGTATAATTATTTAGTTTCATTTTGTACTGGTGACCTGTTCCATAACTTGTTTACAGCCACGATGCCACATTAGGCCTGGCCATGACCCAGAATCCCCAATGCTGTTCCCAATACATTCTTCAATTAAACATCCTCTGCCAGCCCGATGCAGCATTTCAGTAAACAACATCCGGGGCGTACGGACGCCTCTTGCCAGTGCCCGCGGCTGCATCGCGCAGAGCAACCCCGCTCGCAGCTCAAAGTCGCGCATGCAGACGGAGACCTCGATTCCGTGTGCTCGTCGAAGCGCATTCTCTCCTGCAGACTTTTCGCCCACAATGTTGCGCGTCGCTGGGTGCAGCCGTTGCGCGCAGCAATGTAGCGGCGCTGCGACCTGCTCGAGAGGGAGGGGGGCAATGTGGTGTCATCCTAACGGCGATGTGACGGCGATGCTAAAGAGCGATGGTCCGGACGTTCTGCCAAAAAGGGAAATGAAGGGGCCGTTTGTGCGCGGTGCGGATAATGCGCACTTTTGTTGTCCGACTCCCATGGCAGCGGCCAGCACTCCGGCAGGGCTTTGTCACCCTCAAAAGCCCGAGAGGGTGAGAGTGTGTGTGTGTGTTTTGTGCAATGAGTCGCTCGGCCGATGTTTCACAGTGGAACTTTTTAAAGGGATGCTTGAATAAACACGACTCGGGACGCCCACGGAAAGTGCAGCCGTAATGGAAATGACGGAGTACGCCGCTTTAGTCGGGGATATATCGGAGTGAAGCTAAGGTCGGTGACTTATGGGACCGTTGGGTTGGTTCCAAAGGTTTCGGTTTTAATCGGAATGATGCTTGAAAATACCGATGGCCTTTTTTGTTACGTTTAAGTAATGCAGATGCAGTTGGGAATGCACTTTTGTGGTTGATGATTCATCTTTGAGAATGGATGGTAATGGAACCTTGAGCGTTAAATTGATTTCCATGTGTGCTGTGTCCAACCTTTATACCTAGATAAATACACCAGAGTAAGTTTATTTTTCCTCTCATTGGAAATAAATAGGAACATTTATTTTATTTTATACCTACATGACTTTACCGAAAGAGCCAAAGAGTATAGGAACATTTTCACAAGGAGTTATTTTGCAAGGTGTAAACTTTGGATGGCATGATTTAAAGTTTTTAGCAGGTAAAGCCATCTCAGCCTATATAGCTCTGCTAAAAGTGTTGTAAGCTTGGTTAAAACAGTGAATACGCTACTTCACGGAAAGATATTACATCTGCGGGCATTTTTTTACTTTTCAGTAATGCAGTGTGGCTTGTAAAAAAGTGTAGCCACTCTCCAAGTCATCTTGAAACACATTTTGATTTTATATAATTTCAAATAAGGTAACATTCACGGTAAGAATGAAAAAAGGTAATAAAACACAGCCCTTTTATAAACCGCCTGATGAAGGCCTCCCCCATGGCCCGTGGGTTGTGGGGGGTTTGTCAGTGTAGGTTGGCGAAGTGTAGGGGTGGGGGAGACCACTTGTCACTTGGTGTTAGCCATGGCCAGGGATTAAACTTGGCTCGCCGGGTACACAGCGCAGCGGACCAACCACTGCCTCCGCCGCTTCCAGTCGCCCAGCTTTTCCCACAGACCAAACCAGGTGGGGGGGGGGGGGGCATAACATCGCAGCCAGCAACTCGGTCCCTAATCAACACTGTGCAATCTCCTGCAATAAAGTTCAACACTGCACCGGTACCGGATCAATTCAATTCCTGACACGCAAACACAGGTGCTAATTCCCAGACTGTCCCGGTCGAACCGGGACAGTCTGGGAACAGGTGGCCAATACTAGCCCCCCCTTCCCCATGTATTGTTTATTGCATGCGACATTGACACGATGGTGATTCAGCACAAGTGTTGACATAACGTCATAATGATGGCCTCGCCATGTGTCACCACGTGGACTTTCAACGTCCACGTGACGACGCTTGGGCTCGTCGTATGATGATGACGCTCAAGACTGGCACGTCGGTTTTTGCCATTACTGGACGTCTGTGAAAAAGAGCTTCATAGCTCATCGGATTCCCCACAATATAAATACACATTCTGATACTCTGATCATTACTGGAGCTATAAACCGAGACCTATAAGCAGATACCCCCCCCCCACTCTCTATTCCGCTAGGCCGCTAGGGTCTCTGCAAGGCCACCGTGGTGGTGGTTTGGCACCGTGCGTTGTGAGCCGCGAGGTGGCGGTGTTGCCGGATGCGCTGTGGGGAAATTCGCTGTCATTCTGTGGCTAGGCCAGGGCTCGGAGGGTCAGAACGAAGCTGCCCAGACAAAACAACAACAAGACGGCTAAATGCCAAGAAGAATGAATAATAATACTTGACCACGGTTGTCATTGATGCTGGTTTTAAAACAGATGTTTGTTGTAACGCACTATGAAGGAATGTATATAATACAGAGCTTAGATGAGTGCTTGTGTGGGTGATCCCACAGCATGTGACAGGCGTTATAGGCTGCTGCATGCTCTCATTTTGCGGGCAGCAGAGGGCAGTGCGGCAGAATGCATTGTTGTACTGTACTGTGTTCCCATATCTATGCTGACGTGGGATGCAAACATTTAAAAGTACGGTATAATATACCAACACAATCGTAAAAGCACAACGTGGGTTAAGAATAACTGTAAATACTCTATGTAGACTTTTATTCTTTATAGATGTCATAGGTGGCGGGTAATGAGGACTAACAGGGCTTAGCCCCCTTACAGACCTACTGGCCAGCTGTAGCATTCAAACGGAGCCTATGCATACAGTTTAAATCTCTCTCGATGCGCCACCACTGCTGACGCCGCACGTGTTTAGAGTGACGTGATCGGTGACTCCGTCAACAAAACGAGAGAAGCGGTGAGGTATTTCTCATGTTGACATTATTCAGCCCTGCCAAGAAACTCCTTTCTGTTTTATTTGAGCGATATTTTTTTTAAACAATATTTTTTTTTGCTGAACTTTGGCGGCAGAATTATCGCTTGAAAGAAGAAGAAAAAACCCCAAGGTGGCAAAAACAGTTGTAGCAACACCAGCAGTAGTAGCAGTAGCAGGAGTAGTAGTAGCAGCAGTAGTAGTAGCAGGAGTAGTAGTAGTAACAGTAGTAGTAACGGTAGTAGCAGGAGCAGCAGTAGTAGTAACAGCAGTAGTAGCAGTAGCAGCAGTAGCAGCAGCAGTAGTAGTAGCAGCAGTAGTAGTAGCAGCAGGAGTAGTAGCAGCAGTAGTAGTAGCAGCAGGAGTAGTAGCAGCAGTAGTAGTAGCAGCAGGAGTAGTAGCAGCAGTAGTAGTAGCAGCAGTAGTAGCAATAGTAGCAGCAGTAGCAGCAGCAGTAGTAGTAGCAGTAGTAGCAGTAGCAGCAGCAGTAGTAGTAGGAGTAGTAGCAGCAGTAGTAGTAATAGTAGCAGCAGTAGTAGCAGTAGTAGCAGCAGTAGTAGCAGTAGTAGCAACAGTAGTAGTAGCAGCAGTAGTAGTAGCAGTAGCAGCAGTAGTAGTAACAGTAGTAGTAGCAGTAGCAGCAGCAGTAGCAGGAGGAGGAGCAGCAGCAGCAGTAGCAGCAGCTGTAGCAGCAGCAGTAGCAGCAGTAGTAGCAGTAGCTGTAGCAGCAGTAGCAGCAGTAGTAGGAGGAGGCTTTCGCCACCAATAGTATCCGTAATGGAGGGTGTTGGGTTAGATGGCGTAAATATATAAATGTCTCGTTAAACCTGCTACCACCGACACAGCCAATAAGTAAGGTGTGTCACGTATACAAAATACGGCAATTCGTTGTGTGTTGGAGAGTAAACCCACAACATGTATTCGAGCACCGTAACTATTGTGTGTGGGTTTATCCAACACACCGGTGTGCTGTACTAGTAGCGAATTTGCATGTTCTGTTTATGTGACAAACCTTACTAATTAGCTGTGTCGGGTGGTGGTGGGTTTAACGACACATTTATATCTACACCATCGCAAAAAACTCATGGATGACAAATACACTCCGATAAAAAAAACGAAACGCGGTGAAGAAAAATATTTCTTGAATAATGGCCAGCAACGGGTGATTTTTTTTAAACAAATGTAGATTTTTTTTATTTTGTATCTTCAGCCTTTTCATATCGAGCAGGTATGAGTACAGTGCAGCCCTTGGTTCAGAATGCAGACCCCCTGGTGTTTGATCTCAAAGCCCACCGGCACATTCCCTCAATTCGTCTAAACGCCGCACGAGGGACTAAACGATGCCAATCAAGAGAAAGACTGATCGTTGTTGAATTAACGAGCAGCAGAGGCCCGTTTACAAGTAGACCCCTCTACCTAATTCCCATTGCAGGTCTGTGGGCCATAACGTCAGCGTTGTTGAGCCGAGACTTAATTTATTTGCTCCTGTGTATTTTGTCCGTCAGCGTGCCTTCTCGAAGCGATTTATTTCTGAAACAAATAAATAAATGTACATATCCACGCAATAAATCTGGCTTAAATATAATTGTAACCCAGTCTGCTAACCTCCGGTGAAGAGACCAATTGCCAGGGGTATGTTAAATTTCACTGGCGTTATGGGTCGTGAGGTTGCCATGACGGCCAGCCCATGTTGGGCCCTCTCAGACTCGGCGTCTCCCCAGGATATGGGGGAGGAGTGGTAGGGGGGCGTGCTGGTGAGCTGACGTGCCCCCCCCCCCCCTCTGTGTGTGTGTCTTCGTGCGTCTGTGTGTGTGTGTGCTGTGGTATTTACAGCCACAGTACGGCGTGATGTAATCGCATCTCGCTTCAGGGCAGCTGTGGGTTGGCCGTGTCACATCGGATTGCGTGAACATGTCTTGTGACTTGTTAACATTTGGAAAGGGAAAAAAACCTGGAATGATGACATTGCCGACGTTACAAACTGCGGTGTTTTGGATCGTCCCCCTTTGTAAGGTTGCTGCTGCATTCTAACGACGCAAGGTGAATCTAGCGTTGGCGTACAGGTGTTACAGAGCTGCCTGGCAGCTGGTAAATGCCACTTGGGATATAGGGTGTTAACAACCCACATGGTTCTGTATTATATAACCACCAATATATTCAGATGCCCATTAACTCATGGCCATCATCATCATCTACATCATCATTGTCATGAATCATTGACTAGCTGCTAATAGATGAAGTCCCCCCCATCGCAATGCCTTCACCTTCCCACAGTCCTGCGATGTCACAATCCATCTCACTCCTGCACATTCACTGATCTCACCGCTCCGTCTCTGATGTGACCATCCGCTGGGAAAGGAGGGTGGGAGTCTCTTGGCCTCATTCCATCAATTTTGTCGTCCATCAGCTGTCATCCCTTCCTGGGACATTGTCCACTTTTCTTCACCGAGTCCATGTACCTACTGTACTACAATGCAATTTGAATTCGTAGTGACACCATGGGACTGCATCTAGAGATGCTATAAATGTAACAGTGGGTCTTTCATAACGGAGAGACGGTCCAATTTAATGGTATCGTTAAAAGAGAGGTCATGAGCCTAGACTTAAATAGGTGCAGGAAGTCGACCGCACAGATGGATAGGGGAACGCGGCTCCAGCTAATAAGGGCTGCATAGGAGAATAAGCGTCCTCCCACTAAGCGAATGTTGACTGGCTGGTTTGATAATAAGATAATTTCAATGTAACATCCACTAATTACTGGACCAAATTATGCAATTGGATAGTACGTGGCTAATTCCTTCAAAGTCTTTAGCATTTGCAGTGTGCGACTGACTCCTGCCACTACCACCACCACCACCACCTGGCATCGGGTGCATGGGCCCAAGACGCATCGATCCCTCTGTCGTGGCATCTTAGCCGCGGTGGCCACTCCGGGCCTTCTCTATCCGAGGTGCCGTTGGCCGGCACGGCGTCCGTTAAATATTCATACACTGTACACGTCTGCGTCGTGTTGGTAACACCGCTTTCTCTCTCTCTCTCGCCCGTGGTCCCTCATCGCCGGGCGGGGAGCGTTAACATTCATCATCGATCCATCACGCCGGCCGAGCCTATTGGAGGCTCTTGTGCCCGTTGCCCAGGTAACCGAGGATCCTCAGATATAATAAGTGCTGATGTCACACTTGCAGAGAGGTGGGCGTTCTCTGCACGGCTGGGAGAGGGAGAGCTCTATGCTCTCGTCGCCTGTGCCTCTTCCAGCTCCTTCATCCACTATTCTCTCCGGCTCTGAGAAGTGATGCTGTGTTTTCTCGTGCTTGCAGGTATGCGCACATGTGCTCCCCATGTGCATTGTCCTTGCTGTTTGTTGTCGCTGCCATTTGCCCATGAAACGTAATTTTTTTTACCTCGTGTCAATGCACACCGTAAAAAAAAACATAATTCAGGTTGGGCGCCAAGGATTGTGGCTTTACGCGGGAGGTGCGTCGCATACCAATGGCTTCAGATTTACCACGGGTTCTCCGTGTGCTTTGCACAAGGGACTGATTTCGCTGGGAATGAGCCTCGATTCTCTGTATGCCACTCGATCCCATCAGCAGCGAGGTCATTCCCGGTCTCCGAGCCATCGGCCGTCTCACCGGGGGGATGCCGCAGTCGTTGAATCTTTTGCAGCCATGAAACGGGACGTGATTATCAATTGGCAATGGCGGAATGTCCCTTTCTGTGTGTGCGGCGTGCGGGGTGCAGGGCGCTGGCCACCGTGGATTAATGAATCATGTCGCTCCGTGGTGCCCAATAATGCTAATGGAAAAAATGAATTTCGCTTGTAATGGAAAAAAATGAATTTCGCTTGTAATGGAAAAAAATGCTAATGAAAAAAAATCCATTTCACTTGTAGTCTTAACGAAATACTCATGACATACATATGCATTGTGGGTAGTTTGATTTAACTGTGGATGTCAAATGTTTAACAAACAAACAAATATTTCAAAAATGCCCCTTGCATGAAAAAATTACATGAGAAAATATCTGTGGTACTTATTCTTGAAATTGTCGTGCCGCAATTCGTGTGATTTAGAATAAAGAGTCGGTAAAAAAAATGTATTCCATTTGCGTTGTCTGGGGTGCATAAACCTAGTGCTGGATTTGGGTTGTAAGGGTAGGGTTAGGGATAGGATGGGGGTAGAATTGGGCTCGGGTTAGGATAATGGTTAGGGTAAAGTTCGGTGTATATCTAGGGTTAGGAATAGGGATACGGTAAGGTTATAGTATATTTGGCGTAGTGTGTTAGACTTAGTGGTTCGGGGTATGGTTATATTGTGGGGTTAACAATAGTGTCCGGGTAGGGTCAGGGGCTACTGGTAGGGTTCGGGTGGGCTAGAGTAGGTTAATGGGAGTGTTTAAGGTTAGGGTTACGTTTAGGAGTAGAGTTATATTTAGGTTTATGAGTAGGTTAACAGTTAATGGCAGAGTTCGGGAGAGATTAATTAGGGGTAGGGTAAGTGAAGGGTTATAATAGTGTTAACGTATGAGGCTTGGGAATAGGGATTCGACTTCGAGGTAGGGTTACAATTCGGGCTCAGGTATGGTTTGAATGATGGGCATGGTTCAGGGTTATGGGTAGGGTAGGTTAAGGTTCCAAGTAGTGCTAGGGGTTAAGGTTAAGGTAGGTTTAGGGGTAAGGTATGGCTAAAGGTAAGGTAGGGTTAGGGGTGAAGGTAGTGTTAGGGGAAAGGTAGAGTTAGAGGTTTGATAGGGTTTAGGGGTATGTTAGGGTTAGAGGTAAGGCAGGGTTAAGAGTAAGGTAGGGTTCAGGGTAAGGTAGAGCTAGGGGTAAGGTAGGGTAATAGGTAGGGTTAAGGGATTTTGAGGCCATTGGTATCATATTTTCTAAGTGATGAGCATTTCCAGTTGAAGCAGGAATCACTCACCTCATTAGCATCATGGTCTCAGGTGCTCCCTGATTGGCTTGGCAGCCCATGACATCGCCATGTCATGTGATGACGGCGGTGATTGCCATGGCTATCCTAGACAATTGCTATGGTATTGCAGTTACCACGGTAACACCAAAGTAATTGCTTCATACCATTTTGTACAAATGTAAGCGATTATGAAAACAAAAACATTGACATTTCAACCTACATATTACAGGCCTTTTGGCGATAGTACAACTCGTGTGGAACGGGGCAATACATTACACGTGGGAACTGTGCTGAGCCTGCGGTTTTCTACGGCCACTCAATGCTGATGTGTCACCCACTTCGCGCCCATGACAAACTGGTGTTTGTTCCCCCCCCTCTTGTGCAGAATTGCTGATTTCAGTCGAGAACGTGGCGTTTTAAACATCCATTTGAGGGTACACACCTGACATTTACCTTTTTATGAACGCGTGCGGCCGGTCGACATTCGTCACGATCCCCTGTATACGTTTTTTTGTGCTTGGTGCAAAGCGCACCCTTTGACAGATATCTTACAAAGTGAGCTTAAATTCCCACAACCAGCTGCGGGCAATGATACATCGCTAAATAAATACACCCATGTGTACACATCTATATACTATCTTGATTTGAAGCTTTCGTGACTGCAGGAATCCATACTCTTTGATTCTTTCGGTAAAGTCACGTAGGTAGAAAAATAATAGATCACGCAACACAAGCAATCGTCATCAGGTGGTACAACCACAGCAAGTAAAAACTAGATAACAGTATACATCTATATACTGTTATCTGAATCAGCTGGAGCCTCCCGTAAATCACGTGACTTCCACGTGGCGACGCCCAGACTGAATTCCTCCCCCCGCCCCCTTTGAAAACACACGCAGCAGCAGCAGCTGCTGCTGCTCTTCTGTGCAGCAGCGTCGAGGCCCTGATGCAGCCTCTTCCCCCCTATCATCTTTCCTAAACCCTGTGGTCCCGTTTCTTCTGTCCCTTTTCTATCTTTCCATCCTTTCCCTCTTTATATCCCATTCTGTCTCTTCTCTCTTCCCGTTTTATTTTCCCATTCATCGCATCCATGACTCTACTCCCCTTCCCGTCGTGTGTCACAGGCAAGACAAAAAATGCACAGTACGATACATATACACAAGCCTATGACCAAATCGCTCATCGTCATTGATGACATGGTATATATCTGAAGTAGCAGAAAATTATTTAAGAAAGCTAGCCATTTATTTTACAACGTCCGTGCCGGGAGATCGAACCGACAGCCTCTGGATTGCAAGTTCCAGACATGCTAACCATTCCTAACCACGACGACGGCGGGAGCGGCAGTGGCATCGCTACACTTTACACTACAAAACGCAGTACCGTAATCTGCAATTCCCCTCCGCGTATGTGTGAATATGCCACGGACGTGACCGCGTGGCCCTGCCTGCCGCGTGCATCTCGTACTCCATCATGCGTGCAGCACGCTCCCCTGCGTCTCCCCCGCCGCCTCCTGATCGCACCCTCGTATCGGCGGCGGAGAAGGCGTGTGGGGGTCTCTCACCCCGCGTGGACGCACGCGGCTTGGATATTTATCAAAAAGCAATCCGCAGCTGTCCCTCTCTAACAATCCCTCAGGGAGCAGCCTCCCAGAGTCCCGCCTTGGGCGGGGTGGGTGGTGGCGGCGATGTGGTCAAGGCTTGCGTGATTCCTCTGTCACACTGGCTGCTTTGCGATTTGCTAACCAACAAATGAATGGCATTAAAATAATTAGGATTTTTTTCGTTGTTCATATTACCCGTCGCTTTGTGTGATTTTTTTGTTAGCGGCCGCCTTCAATCCCCGGTGCTGACGTTCAGCGCACCGCACCGGGTGTACAGTTACATGACTGTACTAATTTTAGGCAGAGTCAATCCGGCCGGACACCCAGGTCCGACTGCACGAACTATTGTCGCTGACAATGTGCGCGGGCGGGAATGGAACCTGTTTGAACATCAATGGTAGCGCAGTACATTCCCCACCGCAGCAGTGCGCGCCTCGCAAAGGTCAACACGTTTCACGGACACGCCTACATGTTTCATAGCCTCCTTTTGTCAATCCACTGCTGGATGAGGGCCCTCCCCACACCGTTGCGGATTGCCAGGATTGCTTGACCGTTCTTTTCTACGCACTGGGTTGGTGGAGGAGGGGGCAGCCAGAACTGGTTCAGCTGTCACTCTCCACCGGTCTTATTCGTAGCAGGGAATCGAGCGCCCGTCGCCTTAGTTTGTATGATTAATTTTTTTCGCACCGTACGTTGCCAACCGTGCTAATCGGAGGTGCGGAGTTGATGTATGTGTGTGTGTCAACTACCAAGTACTTTCCCTTGCCACACGTTTAGTGTGGCGCTCATGCTGCCCTACTTACGCAAGCCCCTCCCTCCAATGCCTCTCTGTGCCATAACCCAGACTGGCTTTTGGCACAGAACCGTTTGGAATTTCGAATGGGCACATTACGACCGTCGCATTCCATTCATCTGTAAACACCGCTCGCGTTCTCTTCCAATGCTGCCGTCTTTGACGTTGAGCGATGTGAGGAAAAATGTCCGCGTCAACACGGTGATGTGGATGTGGGATTGGTAGTTGTGCTGACAGAAGGGGGTGCAGTCCCTGTGGGCGTGGAGGGAATCCAAACACCCACCACCCAACCAGCACGTTCAGATGTGGCTGAGATACACCAATAACATATTCATTTGTGGCTAAGAGACACCAACAAAGTGTAGCGTCACTGGTCAACGCACACTCTCGATCAACACGCAGCACACAGTATAGGTGCATATCCACACAGTTTCGAAACCCTACTGCACAAATGAAGATAATTCGCAGCTGTGTGGCCCACGCACGTGACCCTGGCTACTGCGGACCATTTCGCAAGTAAAGGCACCCCCCCCCCTCCCCCCGTTTCCAAAGCGTGGCAGCACCATGGCTGCCAGGTTTTGTGTTTGTAGGAAGTGGACAGTGGGCAGGGACTTTGTGACCAAATTATTGGAGTGATTTTCTCAGTTTTATGACTCATGCGAGCATTGTTCTGATTTGTTGAAGCCCTTCCAGCTCCTTGTTAGAATGATTGCATTTACAGTTATTGCTTCAACCTTCATCGGTGTGTCGTACACATTGGGAAGGATTATGATCTTTCACCATGTCAATCTAATTACGGGATAGATTGTCATCGTTATGAGTCTT